TTTTACTAAAATCCAGGAAAAAAATTTATTATAGGAAAAAAAATCAAATATGATAAAAATTTCAATATTTATTATAGGGACAAAAAATCAAATATAATAAAATTTAAATGACTAAAATAATAAAAGTTTGCAAAACAAGTAACTAAATTAAAAATAAAATTCGCTAAAAGCCAAAATAGGGGCTTAAAAAATACAGGAAGAGAAAAAATGATTTACTATAAGAATAAAAATTAAATATAATAAAATTTTAATGATTAAAATAAAAAAGTTACAAAACAGGGATTAAAATAAAAATAAAATAAAATTTTAATATTTATTATAGGAACAAAAATGAAATATAATAAAAATTTAATAACTATGATAAAAAATTACAAAACGAGGATTAAAATAAAAATAAAATTCATTGAAAGCCAATAGAAGAACTTAAAAAATACAGCAAGAGGAAAAAAAATTGATTTATTATAATAAAATTTTAATGATTAAAATAAAAAAAAATTATAAAATAGGGATTAAAATATAAAGTTAATTTGAAGCCAAAAAAGAGGCTTAAAGCTTCCAGAGAGAGAAAGAAAGAAAGAAAAAGCGGAAGGGGGGGGGGGGGGAGTTAGCTTTTTGTTTTAGTTTTTCTTGTAATATAAATCTCTCCTTTACTAGGATACATGATGACGATGATAATAATAATAATGGAAAAAAATTTTCAATAGTTTTTTTTTTTTTAATCTATCATAGGTCCAATAAACCTATAAGACTACATAACGAGAATAGCCTTCTCCGTTACATAATAATCAAATCAAAATTCAAATTTTTTTCATTAGAAAAACTAGTTAGGTACAAAACTTTTAGCCTGCTTGTATAATATGAGCAAATTTGTTTTACAAAACTCTTAACTTTTAGTAAAATGACAAAAAAAAAAAAAAAGTCTCTAACCTTTAATTTTTTCGACTTAAGTTCTTTATTTTTTATTTTTTGTCAACAACGTCCTCCTTTCGTCAATTCTGTTAAAAAAATAACTGAAAATAAAGTTAATGATCGAAGACGTCTCCTTATTTTCTTTGTTTTAATTATATTTAATTATTAATTTTTTTATTAATATCATCCCTTAATATTTTTTCAAATTTTTAGGTGACGGCACTAAATATTAACACATGGTAATTTTTTTAAAATTAAATAAATAAATTTCTGAAATGAAAAATAGAAAGCCCAAAACATCTCCGTCCATATAAAAAATTCAAAATCCCTAATTAACTTTTAAAATTTTGATGGTGGATAGTAGTGAACATATTTTGATAGCAGAAGGGCTGCTTTTGAATAAATTGATTAGGGTTCTTGAATGAGAAAGTGGGTTTGCTAAAGAAAAAGGCTTGTGCTGCCCTTCAAGCTTTAAGCTTTTCGAGAGAGAATGAAGGGCAATTGGGTCTAGAGGGGGGATTTGTTCATGATTGGAGATTTGTCAAGCTGGAACACCTAGTTCACAGAGTCTTGCACGTGGGGTCATAAGGAATCTGGCTGTGTTTGAGGAGATTAGAGAGAATTTTATTGAAGAGAATGTTGTTTCTGTTCTTATTGGGCTTGCAGCGTCTGGAAATGCAATAGCTCAAGAAAATGCAACTGGTTGTTTTTGTTCATAATGAGATGTCAAGGGAGTTGGCACCTTGCGGGAGGGCTTGTTTCTGATGGGTTTGTTGTTAGGCTCGTGGCGGCGTGAGGGACGACAGCGATGGTGGCAGTGGGTGGGTGAAGGGGAAGACTAGGCAGGAGAGAATGGATGCTTAATTGGGGATTTTGGGGTTTTTATATGGGGGCTTTGGATTTTTCATTTTTCATTTCAGAAATTTATTTATTTAAATTTTCAAAATCAAACAGAAAAAAATAATGGCTCATCTCTCACTGAGATTTAACGCCATTAAGACGCAAAGTAAATGTTGAGGTACGATATTTGTCACATAATCTATTTTTGACATCCCAATAATCATTTTAGATTTTTAGAAGTTTCTTTTATTTTTAATGTATAGTATCGATTTATGGTATCATTTTTATTAGTTTCAAATCTTAGTTCAAATTTTTTTTATCGTTTAAAAAATAATTATAATATAAGAAAGAAAAAAATATTTAAAAAAAACATAAAAAAAGAAAGGGAAAAAAATAAAGAAGAGAGAGTCAATTTTGGCTTAATTAAAGGATCTAATTGAAAAATATTTTAAAAGTTATGTGGGTTAATTTAAAAATACTAGAAATATTAGAGATGAATCAGAAGTAATTGAGGGTCAATTTGTAAAACTTAAAAAGATAAGGACCAAAATGTTCTAAATAGTGGGACTTGATTAAAAAAATTAGAGAGCAATGGACTAAAATAAAACAAGAACACGAATAGGAGGATCATTTTTAACCTGTCAGAACCTCTGAAAAACCATAACTCATCTCTTTTATCTGACCTTATTGGCATCTTTATTAACATCTACATTTCATGTTTCAACCTTATCTCCTAGCACTAAAAACAAAAACACGAAACCAAAATTTATCCTTAACATCTCTTTATTTCCTTTTACTTCTAGCTTTGTAAGGCCAAAACATAAAAAAGGATCCAACGGAGAGGAAAGAAGGATAATAGTGGATTGTCTCATCCTGATAAAGAGGGAAAGATTGAGATTGAGAGATAAAGATTTGAGGATAGAGAATGAAGGTAGGATAAAATAAAAATCAAGAGAAAGGAAAAAATGTAGCGTTTTGAAGGGTGGCTAAGTTTTTTGAGAGAGAAAATGGGAGAGTAAGAGGGGAAAAAACAAAAAAAGAGAGAAGGCAAAACCAAAAAGAAAGAGTTTGGAGAGGAAAAAAGAAAGAACAAGTAAAAAGAAAAGATGAAAACACCACCTAATCATCTTGATAAGTTTGAAAACAAGCTAATTTATCAACTCCAAGCTTCTTAATTATCTTTGAACTTCAATAGGTAAGCTCCTATCTTTTTTACTTCATCTCTTATTAATCCCGGTAGGCAAAAATGTATTTGAATGTTCATTAATGCTAATAGATTTGATAGTCAATCTAAACTCCAATAAATATGATTGTTGGTCGTGTTTCTCGTAGGTTTGGTAAAACTCTAGATATATATATATATATATATATATATTTAATTTTTTGCATGAACACCATCTATGTGTCTTCAATCTATATGTGAAATTTCAAATCTTTAGGACATAATATGGTTATCCAATTAAATCATTTTGTTAGCTACTAAAGTACTCGATTTTTCAAACAAAAGTAACTACTCTCATATTTTGCTTGTTTGACGTTGTCTTAAATATTTTTACTTTCTGATTTTTTTTTTTTTTTTTTTTGAGAACGCCATCTACTATCTATTATCTATTTATGAAATTTCAAATATTTATAATATAAGATGGTTGTCCATTTAAATTATTTTGTTAGCTACTCGTGGTATTGATTTTTCAAGTTAAAGTTGGCTACTAATATGTGTTATGTGTTTCATATAGCATTAGATGCTTTTACTTTCATTTTTTTTTCATATGACCACCTTATATATATATATATATATATATTCAATCCATCTATGAAATTTCAAATCATTATAATATAGGATGGTTGTTCTTTTATTTTTTTTATTTTTTTATTTTTTTTGGCGGTAGTAATTTCTCAAATTAGAAATAGCTACTATTGTATTTTGTATGATTGATGTAGCCCTACATGTTTTTACCTCTTGATTTTTTTTTATTTTTTTTGTATGAATATCATTTATTTGTCCTTAATCTTTATGTTGAATTTCAAATTTTTAAGAGATAGGATGATTTCCCATTTAAATTATCTCATCGACTAGGACAACAATAATTTGTCAAAACAAAATTGGCAACTGTTATGTTTTGCATGTTTGATATATTTTCGTATATTTTTACTTTTTTTTTTTTTTGGTTGAATATCTTCTACTAGCCTTTGATTTAGGCTCAAAATTTTAGAATTTTAGGATGTGTTTTGACCTTTTATCTAAATGTCATTTTATTATTGTTGCATTTATTGTGCGTAGGACGTGGAATCATCGAGTTTTCTAGAGTCTAGGGACCGACAATGATTTCATATAATTTTTTTCGTTATAACTAATAAAAGGCATTCTATCTTGTTTTAATTAGAGAAATTAAGTCCAGCTAACAAGTTTCTTATTTAATAAGGACGGATGTTGATCTCGACACTTTAATAATAATAATATATAAAAAAAAAGATAATTAGTTAGGATATGGACCATAGTTTTCATTTGCATCCAAAGTATAATACTTTTAACTACTAGGTCATTCCTTGACATGCCAATAATGTCGGGATATAATTAGATCGGATACGAAATTGATGAGACTCTTAAATTTATAGTTTCATGTCAATTTAATACAATTCCATAATAAAAAAATATAAAAAAATAATTTGACCTAGATGACAAATAAGCTTAAAATAGACTTAGAAAATAAATCGACATACATAATTTTAAGAGATATTTTTAAGATTAGACTAAATCCGATACTTTTTTTTGAAAAGGATGTCTTTGCGTGATTACTATATTTCCAAAGACAATCAATTTCTTATTCAAAATCTCTAAATCCAAGTACTTTTTTATTTTTTATTTTTTATTTTTAGTTTCTTTTAATTAATATTAGATGGTAACTCTGAAAAGTTTTTTAATTTTTTTCCTAGCCAAAAATTTTAGAAGTCTCATGAATATCGTATAGTGACAACATTAATGAAAACCCTTGGAAATTAGCTTTAATTTTCTCAAGAGATATTGAAACGAAGAGGGAAAAATAATTAAAATATTGCATCAATATTATTTCAAACACTACTATTAAAACTCGACTTTATCTTCACGTGCGTATTGAGACTTTTTGGAATGAAATTAATCAAACTGTGCAACCGGATCAATTAGTATTTGATAAATTAATGAATAACTTATGCAATTACGTACAAATATTACTTGGTGTACGTATTAATTAGCTAATTATTGTTGCTGTCAAATGCAGGAAGAGGGACGGGTGGTTTGTCGACCATTCAAGAAACCAATCCCAAATCAAAGACAAGGCTTTGAAGCTTGGAATCATGGCTATTATAACGTCAATAATATCAACCATACTAGACCTCCTTCATTCTCAGTAACTACACCACATATGGTTCATCCCAATCAAAGTGCAACTTTTCATCAGCCTTTTGGGTCGGATTCGGACCTCATTTCAAACCATACGTTTTTGGACAATAATAGCCAGCTTGTTGAACTCCCAGAACTAGATAGTCCTAGTACACTATCACCAAGTTTTGCAACAAAAGAAGGGAATTTCCACCGGACCAATGAAGATTACGATGAAGAAAGGAGCAATAATAGCACCCAATATATCGACTGGAAAAATTTGGACACCTTACTTGCATCACAAGTGAATGATTCAAGTACTTCATATCCCCTTCAAGGTTTGCCATCTATTCCGCAAAACTATGACCTAGCAGCTGGCCAGCAAGATATGTAAGATGATGTATTCATGGTAATAATAGTGCTATAGTAGGAGCTAAGGTTAAAGTCTTGATTTAGAAGTTGCATCCTGATGATGATCATGTATTAGGTGAATGAATTTGTTTGTGCTAAGAGGAGACTTCACTTGCAAATTGAATCTCCTACAAGTTTAGAGTCAAGGGTGAAAGTTTTGATTCACCTTTGCTAGCTTATGTTGTTCCCTAATTGTAAATTGTGCATCATTGCATGCATGTATGTACTTATGATCTTGTGTTTTCATAATTTTGCGTTGTGTAATAATGACTGTTTCTCTAGCCCTTGTTCTTCACTCTTTGCTTATTTTGTCATTGCATTCTATTCTGTACTTATGAATGTTTCTCTAGCCGTCATTTTATTTCAACGCTAGGACATAATTAATGCAATCATAAAACTTTGGGATTGTTTCTCATGATTCACTTTTCCCTAATCACATTCTTGTAAGCTCTATTTCAATTCTCTAAAGTCTAAAGTAATCAGTGCAACACCAACCTTTACTCCAAAACCATTGAGCCAATTTGCCTCAGCAGTGTGATGAACCCTCCCAGCTGATCAGCCACTCCCTAATTGCCCTTGCAGCTACCATAGTAATTAAGAAGTTTGAACCTGGACTCTATTACCCTATTTCTACTTTTTTTTTTTTTTGGATCTTCTAGGGTATTTTAGGTCTAAAAGTCTATATTAATCCCTTATTATTCTTTCAAACATAGAAAATATAGACAATTGTCCAAAAAGTTTTTTACATGCATAATAACTCGAATTTGAAATCATTAATTTAATCGATTAGAGTTTTTTTCACTCAAATCAATTCTCTTGGATAACTTATTTCTAGGTTTGAACAAAGGTAAGATTTTAACTTTCGTTTTCATATTGAATGAGGCAAATATATATGAGCTCATTGGACTTGAAATTACAAATTATATATGGTGCTTTGTTAAATTGCACATATATAATCATTTTCTGCGTTCATGTAGTAGAACAAAAATTAATGATGGCAAGATAAGAGAATTGTATTGTTGAAAAATAATAATTAACTGAATTAAAATCAACTACCACGTACGTGCTCAGGATTCATGAAAATTATTGGCCAAAAACATATATTTACAGCATAAAAAAACAGCATAACAAATTAGAGATCATACCGGCTTGAAAACTATTGAATTGCACATCCCCTGCTGGAACTTTGAGAACAAGAAACATTGATATCTCCATCATCAAAAATCAGAATTATTTAATCAGTAGGACATATTACGCACCCACAAGAAAGGCACAGAAATATACTCAAAATTAGTTGATGATATATATATATATATATATATATATATATATATATATATATATATATATATAATGACCTTATCTCTGGATTTGAACCCTAGATAACAACAGTGGCACAAACTTATTTATCACTATAGCCAGGCTTTGTATCACTTGATAATCGATGCTCCATAAATTTCGTTAGAGGAGGAAATTAAGAGTCAAACTTACCTTTTCTCTATCTCCAAATAAAATACCGTATAAGAGCTTAGGGTAAAAGGCACAAATTCACTGGACCTGCTCCATGAGGAGATTCAAGAATTTGAACCTGAGCCTGAGCCTGGCCTAAAAAGAAAAGAGTGGAAACTATCATGATGCTTTCGAAATGTGTTGACTTGTGAATTGTGAAACAAGCAAGAGAGTGAATGATGAGTGATGCAAAAACAAAAGCAAAACAGGATTATTCAAAAAGCTTCTCTTACGGAAAGTAAAATGATCGCGGAATAAAGGACCTGAATCAGACAAGAAGATGCCTCCCTAGCTACTTACTCAACCTTTCAAAATTGGAATGAAAATATCATGCCAATAATTCTTGCTGTCAATCAAGAATATTCTTTATATCTTATTTTCTCTTGCCTTTCGGATAAAATTAAAACTCTCCATGACTAGGATAGATAAAAACAAATATTGGCAAATTCGGTTTAAAATATTCTAAATTTTTTGTCAAATGAAAAAAAAAAAAAGTGTCTAAGATTTAATTTATGGGATTTAAGTTCTGATTTTTTTTTTTTTTTGGGTCCTATCATCAGTCGTAGAATTTTGTTCAAAAATTAACTAAAAATGCATGTGAAGAGCACGTGGTTCACTTGTTGAAGAAAAAATTTTATAATACACAAGAAATAATTAGTGTCATGTACAATAATTACTCCTTGGGTCCACTTTGAGGAAAGAGATAAACACATAAAAATAAAAAAAATTACATCCATATCCATCAAAAGTGATAAGAAAATTTTCACGTCCACTCAAATTTTTTTTATTTTTTATCTCTTTTTGTGTGTCTATCTCTCTCCTTAAAGTAAGTCCAATGAGTAATTATTATACATAATACTAGTTACTCCTTATGTATTATAAAATTTCTCCTTGAAGAATTACATATACAATTGTTTTAATCTTTAATAACCAACTATTCTTAACCTGCAATAACCCAATTCAAAAATTTATACATTCTCATCTTTCTCAAATCAATAAAAAATTTAACAAAAATCGAAGTTTCAAACAGATCAAGACCATAAAGTTCCTAATTAATAAATAATGACAATGGAGGCGGTCTCGGCGAATGTGATGGTCGTTCGAACACTTAAGACAGATACAACTATTTAAGGAGTTTTCTTCACATATAAGGAATCGAATCTAAAATCACTTAAATAAATAGAGTTTTTTCCACTCAAATCAACTTTCTTGAAAAAGTTGGAATCGTTATTTTTGTTATTTTAAGAATGAAGAACATGCTTGGAGAGAAGGTGAGGGTTGTTTGTAAATTGGGATCAAGAAAACTTGTTTAATTGCTCAAGAATCCACAGATTTGGGGTTTTGTTAATTTTTCTAAGTTTTCTCAAGAACCAAACATAAAAGAGTGGATATTTTCAAGACACACGTTTTTTTTTTTTTTAGTTTATGTGACTTTTACGTATAAAAAAATCTAGTTTCAAACTGATTAACGAAAAATAAAGATTTGATTGCTGACAAAAAAAATTGAGAATCTAAATAAAAAAAAATAAAAGTTGTGAACTTTTCTTCATTTAATTTTTGATGCTTGAGAATCAATTTTTTCAAAAATTTTTAATTTATCATAGACTCCTCTATATATATACAGAAAGAGAAAGGGAGAGAACACATTGGAGATTGGATTTGGATTCCAACAACAACAAAGAGTTTGAGAGAGGAAAGGAACCAAATTTACGTCATTCAATCAATGTGGCTATCAGCTATTATCATCAATTGGCATAATATATATATAGCTTAGTTTTCATGTGTATTTAACTATATATAAATCTAATATGTTTTGCTAATCTTTAATGAGTTTTATTATATTTCTTATTAAAGTGTCTTGTTTAGTGAATTAAAAGGTTTAATAATTAATTAATTTTATATAAAGTGATAACACGGCAAAGCTTTAGGAGAAGTGATGCTTGTTGTTTTATTAGACCAAAAGGAATTTGAAGGAGACATAAAGAATAATTGAAGGACCTATTTGCAACAAGAAATTTTTTTAGATAGCGAAAACAATAAATTCAACTTATTGTTTTAATTTAGGCCATACGGCCATTCAAGTTACGCAGCGAACCCTACCCTCAGGGCTGACCTTTAAGAAAATGGTATTAGAGCCAGCCCTAAGTACGAGCGTAGGCTTGTAGCAATTAAGCGGCGCACGAAAGAAAGTGTGATATACTTTGAGAGGGTGGCAGCCCCCTAGACACCAAATTGAAGTTGTGTCCTTCGAAGAGGAACGCCTAGTTATAAATGAAGTTAGGCATCTCTAAAATCCTATACTAGGGCTTTAATCTAGACTATGATTGTGATGCAATGGGTACATTTGAACAAGATATAAGGATTTTTTTTTTCTTTTTTGTTTTCCTTAGATATCTTCAACTTAGTCGAAAATAAAAATAATAATGTTTGGAACAGAAACCTCAAGATTTAATATTTTTCAAATAAATATGACTTCAAAATTTAAACTCTATATATTAATATGAAATTCGCTTAGAGATTAGCTCGCTTACCACTTAATATAAAGTTGTCGAGTGGATTGGATTCGGATCAAATCACAATAGATCCAAATCCAATTTATTTAATAAAACAAATTTGATTGAATCTTATGAATTCGCATCAAATTTTAAAAATGTGGATCTAGGTACTAACGGATTTGAATCGAGTTCGAAGCTCCATCGGATTTATCATTTGATTTTTATATAAAATTTATGTTTACTATATTTAATATATTTTTTAACATAAAATATATTTCAACCACTATATAGATAATAAAATATATTAAGATAGTATTTTATCTATCAATTTTGTTAAAAAAAAATTCAAAATACCACACAATTCAAAACCACAAAATCAAATAATTTTAATAAAATTTTATCTTAAAGCGAGCAAGAAGCATGATAAAACTAAAAAAAAAATAAATAATAAATAATCTTTATCTCTTATCCACGTGATAGGAAAATAAATATTTGTTAATTTGAATTGCAAGATGATAGTTCTACAAATCAAAGCTTGCAAAGAAAGCAAAAAAATCTATTAATAGTATCATGTATTTTTAATAATTGGTTAATACATTAAAGTAGAAAGATAATGAGCTAAGTAAATAAAATACCATAAGTTTGTTTTTTTTTTTTTTTTAAGATTTGAAAGCAAATCACTTATAGTAGTTATTATTTCTACAGTTACTAAAAGTAAAAATACACGATAATTATCAATAATTCTACCTTCTATACTGAATGCACCTCTAGAAGCAACAATAATTGTTGGAACATATAGAACATCACAAGCAATTTTTGTAAGGATAAGAAATGTATACCAATTAGTTTTTCACTATTGCAAGTATTAAACTTGTTTGTTCCAGGACGTACTTACTGATTCCTTCAAGTATTATTCTAGTTTTGACTTTTTTAGAGCATAAAGATTGGAATATCGAACTTATGTATACCATTGATCAAAACTACTCAATCGATAATGTCTAAAGATCACCAAAGTGTTGTTGTTAAAAATAGAGTGATGACCAATTCTTAAAAAAGTGTGTATATATATATATAATTGAATTAAGAAAATAATAAAAAATTTATATGTAATTTTTAAAAAGTCATTGGAGAAAGATATGCATTATTTCAACTTTAAGGCTTAACGTGTTAAAAAATTATGAATTTTATATTTTTTTTTATGATTTTAATTTATTCTTTCAAATTTAGATAGAAAAGTCACGTCCTAATATTCCAGTAACATTACGATCACGTGTAAATATTTTTCTCGATTCTTTCTTCACTTACCAGCTGTGTTTAAATGTTTGGTAAGCCACTGTTTCCTTCCATCCCTGCACTTATCCTGTATTTTTGCTTAAAACCTTCTCAACAAATTGAAAATTTTGCGTCAAGGAGCAGGAATTTGGAAAACGTTTCTATAATTACTTTGTTATTGCAGGTTTTATCTTGATGTGCCCTCAGTTGTTTATAAATTATAAGCTGAAGTATGTGGCACATCTTCCATGGAGGCAGATGACATACAAGTTCCTTAACACCATCAATGACGATCTTTTTGCATTTGTCATCAAAATGCCAACATTGCGTCGGCTCTCTGTCTTCCGTGATGGTGAGATATAATCAACATTCCATTTTTTTTTTTTTTCCATTTCATATTCATGATACCATTATCTCTTTCCACATTGATTATGATGAAGTCATATAAAAATAAAATGTTAACAGATCTTATATTTCTGATACACCTAGCTATACCAGAGGTGGGCTTATACAATGGACAAATCAAGTGTAAATGAATTTGGTCTCGGTGGCAAGAATGATCAGGCATCTGGTGAAGTAACTGCTGCAAAAAGAGGAAGATCTTGACAAAAAAAATACATTAAAATTTTGATATTCTTGAATGATAAATTGACTCAGTCAAAAATATAAAAATAAATTAGAAAATTATCTAATTATATAAAAATAAATTGAGTTTTTTTTTTAAAAAAAAGTTAGGTTAGGGTTTTTTTAATTGGGTTAGAGTTTTTTTTTTTTTTTTTTAATTAGGCTTAGGGATTTTTTTTAATTGGATTAGGTTTTTTTTTAATTGGGTTGAGTAATTGTTTTAATATGTCATGTGAATCCTATGTGGAAAATTTGCTCTGTTGCTATGCTTCCTCACACGTCACGTAAGATTTGGTCGGAATTGAAACTGAAAAAATTCATCTGTTTGAATATTATTATTAGAAACTTAGTTTGTGATCTTTATATTTAGGATTGGAAGAACAAGCTAGAATTATTAAAATTTGTAAAGCTTGTCATTTTCTGATATATTAAGCTAATAATAAATAAACTGCAATTTTCAATTTATTTCCATATTTATATATTTTATTTTTTAATACTTTTAAAATATTATTTTTAATTTCGGATCGAATTATTATCGATTAGGTCAAGGTAAATCTGAATTTGATCCATTTAATAAATGAGTCAACGATTCAAATTATAATCCGATATTTATATATTTGATCCATGTAAAATATTAAGCTAGTAATAAATAAACTATAATTTTCAACTTATTTCCATATTTATATATTTTTTATATTTCAATTTTTAATACTTTTAAAATATTATTTTTAATTTTGGATTGGATTATTATCGGACTATATCAAGATAGATTCATATTTTATCCATTTAATAAACGAATTAACGATTCAGATTATAATCAAACTAGAATAAAAAAATGTTTACCAAACCTCGTTTAATTACATCGAATTCGGATTAAGATTCGATCCATTTACAATCCAAATTGGACCAACAACTTGATGGTTATGATTTTTTTTTTTTTTTTTAATAGTGAGGATAATAAGCTTAACTTAATACTGTACCTGTCATTTATATGGCTGTTTAGGTTACATGATGGACCTTATCTCCAAACTTGAGACATGACATATCATTCATGTCTTCAACATTTTATTTGATATTGAAGTGCGAGACTTTGGATTATTGAAAGGAAAAGGGGGGAAAAAGAGAGAGAAAGGGGCTGCTACAAATGGAAAATGACTGGCAATAGCCCATGAAAGCTACTATTTAAGGGGTTCATAATTGGCTTTTAGTTTAATTTAAACTGAAATTGAGTTTTTTTATCTCCAAATTCTTATTATTTTTAATGTTCTTAGCTTTGTTAAGAATCAAACCAGTGTGACATCTTGATTAATACCGAGATACTACTACCACTTAACTTAGAAGTCTATCTATAAAAATAAATGTTTTTTTTTAAGAAAATACTTTTAGAATTTCTTACAAAAAAAAAAAAGAAAAAAGAAAAAAAACAAGTGTTCGTTCTTAAAAAATAGGAATTGGTTTCATTTATCTTTTTTACTAGGATGCACCATTTCATTTATAGTTTCAATTAATTGAATAGAATCTTCTATAACTTCTACCCAAAAAGTTACGTTCTCAACCAAACTTGAGATATGGGTTTTTTTTTTTTTTAACTCTCAATCACAAAAAAGTTATAAGTCCTATTTTGAAAACATACGTTCTCAACCAAAATACATGCTTTTTTTAAAAAAAAAAAAATCCTTTGAGGATATATTTTTTCATCTTTAATAAGTAAGAGTTTCACTTGTATTTTTTAATTAATAAAACAAATCATTCTATTAATAGCTTCAATTATTTAAATATATATAGTGTTTGATAACTTATTTACAAACCGTGTCTCTTCACATTCTTCATTTTCTAAAATTACAACAACAACAAAGAAAAAAAATTGAATTTAAGGTTTTTAATAGTTGACATCAACGATGATAAGAGTATGAATAATTGTATAAGAAAATAAGTTTTCTATTATTAAAAAAGAAGAAGATTAATAATATCGTATACCACGGATGCAATAATTTTCGCAATGTAGCAATAATTGTGACAATAATTTTTAAGCAATTAGCAACAACAACTTTCTGAATATGAAAATAATCATTCTAAGTTTAGAAATCTCACTAAAAAGCGTAATTTCATGTAATTTAATTCATTATTTGTTTAATATTTTTTATATAATATTAAATATATTTTTTTTGAATGATTATATTTGAGAAACTGTCCGCAAGGCATGGTTCCTTTGACTAGCTTATCAATTAGAAGAAGAGCATGGTATTATAATGTAATTATATGCTCATTAATCGCTAGTACCAAAAATCTGAGAGGAATAGCCCGGTTGCGTGATGTTTTCAGAAGAGGCCCCCTAGTTATATATGAAGTTACCACAAAAAGTCAAATTATGTGCGTATATATATATATATATATATATATATATATCTTTTTTACTCGCTTATCTGTCTTTTTTTTTCATTGCTAATTACTGATTACTAACATTATCTTCTAACATCTAACAATTGAATAGACCATAGGACCTTTATTTATGGCAAATAAATAAATAAATAATAATAATAACCTTTACATATCCAAATTAAATTATTTTTAAATACGATTTAAAGGCAAACCGCTATATAAAATAAAGAAAATGATCTATAACAATTTACAATGTAATTGAAAGATCAAAAGCTAACTTACCCATTGTTTTTTTTTCCTTTTTAAGATCTTTTTTATCATCTTAATTTTTTTTAACATTAAGTCTATCAAAAAATTATGGATTTGTTTCTAAAGTTAGATTTTAAAATTCTCAAAAAATCATTAAGATGTTAATGAGAATATTATTTCAACTCGAGTTATCAAAAAATTAAGGATTTTTTTCTGAAGTTAATTTTTAAAATCTCAAAAAATCATTAAGATGTTAATGAAAATATTATTTCAATTCGAGTTTTTGTTAACTTTTTTTTTAATAAAATGATAATATCCACATTCCATTAGTAATATTTATAATGGTGCCAATAAGTTTTTAAAATCTCAAAAATCATTAAAATGTTAATGAAAATATTATTTCAATTCGAGTTTTGGTTAACTCTCTTTATACATATTTGATGATAGAAAGTCGAAATTTTTCAGGTAGGATGGCATGAAGACGCTATGTTTACACCATATTTTGCCCAAAAGAAAAAGGTTACCTAACAAAACATCTTTTTAAATCAAACTTCTTTTCAGCTCCCCATTTTGTAACCATCAAATTAGATTGAAAAAGAAGAAGAAGTGGCAATGTGACAAGGCATCATAAGATTTGTAATTGCAAGAAACTGACCCCACCATTCATCCCTTATTATTCACCTACTGCGACTACTACTCACAGGCCACAGCTTTTAAATGCCAAACTCCATCTCTTGACAAATTACTATATTTAATATAAAATTTAGCTTCCCTTGCGATAGAACCATTTTGTTCTCTCTCTTTCCTTCTCCTCGAAACCCAAAAAGAAACGCATTGCCATTGCAATTTCAATTTCATTCCACTGTCTCTCTCTGTTTATCTCTCTAGGGTTTTGTTCTGATTTAAAAGGGAAAACCCAGGATTCAAAATCCAAAATTTCTCAGATTTCACAATCAATATCAAATCTTTCTTCAAAACCCATGATTTTTTTGCCCCAAATCAAAATGGGTTCATTTCAAAACAATGAAATCATTCACGATTAAACCCCAAAATCATTCCACTAAAAATTTTCGATTTCTTTTGGTAATTTAAATTTATGGCATCAGCAAGGAATCTAGTTGGTGAAACAGCAACAGGGAACGAGAAAGGGAGGGTGTTAACAATGGGAGATGAAGAGAAAGCTAAAGAGGACGATTCACCTTCTGCTAAAAGGGCTAAATTCGAGAGATTTCCGTTGACAAGATGGGAATTAGCTGCTGCTCTTGGGGTCTTTTTTGTCTTTTCAGCTGGTTTGTTTTGTATCTACTTGACAATGCCTGCTGCTGAATATGGCAAGCTCAAGGTGCCTCGTACCGTTTCAGATCTTCGCTTGCTTAAGTATGCCCTCCTTTTCTAAGATTTCAATTTCCGGGCTCTCTTTTTATTGCTTAATTTTTATGGGTTTTAATTTGTTTGGTTTTTGGGGTTATTTGGTAATATGTATGAATAGATTATTTTGATTTTGTTGATTGGTGTTTGTGAATCATAAGGATTTGATGGTAAAAAGTCAGCTCAATATTGATGGAACTAGTTTTCCTAACGAATATACGTTGTTTTGTTGATTAATTTATTGAAATACGGAAGATGTGGAATTCTGGAAGCTGTTTTGACTTGTGGGGAGATGTTGCATTGGAGTTAAAGTGTTTGTCGTGAGGGTTGCATTTATAGATTTAATTTGTTGTCGATGCTTGTGTGTGGTGGAATTCAGGAATGGGATTTAAGTCCTTTCATGGTAGATTATTGTTCAGGTCATTGGATTGGAATGAACAACGCTCTCTGTTCAAGACATTGATGAAAATTTTATGGCAGATTAAGTCATTGGATGTAGTGGGAGAGTTTTGTAGATCATTTGACAATGCCTCAACTGGATGGGTGATTTGGATCTTCATTTTAGCCTGATTAGTGTGTATAAATTGCCGAGATTTGTAATGTATAATCTGTATCTGTGTGTTTTGGTTTTGATCTTCTAATTGTTTGCCATGCATGCTTGGAAATCAGTGCCTCGACATTAGTACTAATGTTCTTGTGTGAAAAAAATAAAAATAATAATAAATACTGTTCAGTCGCTAAGCATTCCTGTCTATGACTTTCTTTATATCCTCGTTCTGACTGTATCATACTTTTGCTAAACTACATTGTTCATGATTTGCTGCAGAGACAATCTTGCAATATATGCAAATGAATATCCAGCACAATTCATTCTGGGCTACTGTTCTACTTATATCTTCATGCAGACCTTTATGATTCCTGGGACAATTTTCATGTCATTACTAGCTGGAGCTCTTTTTGGCGTTGTTAGGGGGCTTTTTTTAGTTGTCTTCAATGCCACAGCTGGAGCCTCTTCCTGCTTTTTCTTGTCTAAGTTGATTGGCAGGCCTCTTGTTAATTGGTTGTGGCCTGAAAAGTTGAGATTTTTTCAGGCAGAGGTACTATTCATTTATTGTATTTGGAATTGACAATTTTACTGCAGTTTTCATATATTTGGTTTTTCATAACATTCTACATTTCGGTAATGCCCTAATTTGAAGCTTTTGAAATTCAGATTGCTAAGCGAAGGGACAAACTGTTGAATTACATGCTTTTCTTGAGAGTAACTCCAACATTGCCCAATCTTTTTATCAATTTGGCATCTGCAATCGTGGACATACCGTTTCATATTTTCTTTTTGGCTACTTTACTGGGTCTTATTCCTGCTTCCTATATCACTGTCAGGGTAAGTTTTTCTACTTATTCCCTCGTTAATCAAACTAAGTTGGCTTCTTTCGTGAATCTCTTTTAAATTGTGTGACTTATTCATGTGCATGTTTTTGTGATTGCTTGCGCTTCTGAAAAACTTGTGTTTGCTTGCTTTCGGATAAGTTAATATATGAACTCTGACATATATTCATCAATATTGCGCCACATGTTAGTTTGTGAGGAACCTTTTGGTGCATATCATTATTAGTTCATATTGTCGAGATTTGTATAAATAATGATCATTTGGTGGTGGCAAGAGAAATTTATTTGTACATCTTTTGTAGGTGTTGGCTGGGTACAGATTGGTGAATTCCTGTATTTGTTGCTTTACTTAAATATATGGTTTTTGTGCATGATGGTTGTGACAGAGCTGCTATGTTGTGCTGTAAAGTTGCCTAGAGTGTTTTTCTTAATGTGGATTCTTTGAGTACTTCTGAGTGGAGGAGTATCCTATAAATTGTAGTTGCTAATAACAACATTTATCAGCATCATTGTTGCAAATGTTGCTAACAGGCCCTTAAGATGTGTGAAATGAATAACTGATGTTCGAACATTGCTGTGCATCATCTTGCTAATTTTGTTGCTGTCTTGTTCCCAACATCAGGCCGGCCTTGCTCTTGGGGATCTCAAGTCAGTTAAGGATCTGTATGATTTCAAAACATTGTCTGTGCTCTTCCTTATTGGGTCAATTTCCATATTTCCTACCCTTCTAAAGAGAAAGCGAATATACGAGTGAAGGTTGTATTGGTGAGGTCCTCCCACCAGAGGCAGCTTAAGAGCGATCTCTTGACTGTTTGCTTAAAGGATCTGAAAAAGGCTGCAGGGTGACATCCTTCCTTTTGCCACAAAACACAGCAGGACTCCTGCCTCATTTGTGATACACATGGGTTGATTAATTCTCCCCTATGATGATGATAAAGATATAAAAAGTTCGTGAATCTTCTTTCATAATTTTTTTTTCCTTCTTTTTTTTTTTTTATTGTCCCATGAAATGTTGGTTCAATGATCTCCCAATATGGATTATTTATACAGTTGGGAGCCAGTAATGTTCTAGGAAGGTGTTGTAATCCTTCATAATTCTTGAAAGCATAATGTAACAACCATACTAAGGTAGGACTGACAATAGTATCATTGGCTTTGCCTATTCATTAAATCAACAGAAGACTGAAGCAGAAACATAGGCAGCAGCCGTGAATTGCATGCTGGCAATGTTGAATGGCAAATGTTATGAATGTAACAACTTGTGTAGGAACTGGGACATAATTTAGTCAGTTTTACGTTTGAGATCCAGCAAGTCAGGAACAGGGTGGGGGACCCTGTACGGTCCTCGTTTCTGGGTACCTGGGGCTTCTGGAAACTGAAAAGCAGTCCAGACCTCCCCACTGTAATTCTCAGGATGTAAATGTGATGCGTAGTCTTCTCCTGTTAAGAGAGGCAAATTGGTTCCTCGTGAAGAATTGAAAACATAAGAAAAATCTGCTAATTTCATTTTATTTGATTAGCAATGTTGCACGTATTTGAGGAGGCGAGGGTCGCTATGGGCAAAAATATGACACGTAGTTTCCCATTCACCTGTCTTTCATGCATGCTTACGGATGGCACACTATACTCTTGCATTATACGAATAATTCATTTGTGAAAAATTAACTTTCATTATTCAACATCAGAAGACAATATTCAACGTAAAACATTGCCCTATAAGGGAAATTACAACGAGTAAAGAAGCAACTTCACAAAATATCAAGAGCTGAAATTCACGCATTCACCCAAACCTCTCCAGGAAATACTAAGAATCAAGAGTAGATACCGGGTAGTCTTGATAGCCAGTGATGCCTGTTATCCTTATCCGAGTATTTGGCTGCATAATTCAGTCAAAGCAGTTTTAAAAATATCAGGCGGTAGAGGGTCCTTTCTATCAATCAAAGTAGACAAAAAGAACAACGAGGACCTTCTTTCATTTAAATTTCAATTATCAAGGTTCATGAAATTGATGGTGGCCCCCGACCCCCGTCTCATTCAATGGTAACCCAAGCAATAGATTTTTGTTTTAAATTGAGTAGAAGGGATTATAAAAAAATAAAATAATAAAATAAAAAGGAAAAATGAAGAGTAAAGTTTTATTTAAGAGAGATAGAACGTGCAAGGCAAGGCAAGGCAAATTCTCTATTGGTAGCTGAAGTTGTATGCATTTAGATGGAAAACTGGATATATGACTTTATTTATGCATTGGTATGACTAGAATTTGAAACAACAAAACCCCAACCCTACCCGACTAACACCTAAGCTAAGCCCCAGAGCATATTTTATTTCCCTTGTTCTTGTACAACAAAAGATAAAATATGAGCATAGAAGATTAAAGAAGCAATAAAATTGTCTCATGCATTCTTTTATTGAGAACAACTGAATAAGAATAACATGGAAGGAAACAACACTTTGACCAACATATGCAGGGTAACTGGTGTGACAGCTTAAGCAGTAGGTGGTAGGTGCCACATTAAGCATCCGGAATACAGTTGGGATTGCTTCCACACTTGTATTACCCATTTGGATCCAAGAAGCTCCTTACGGGGCCTACCTCAAACCGGTTAAAACACATCTTTTGAAGAAGCGCACACAAAAAGATGCTTCTGGGCATGGAAGAAGGAGAAAACCACCAGGTTTACCCCACCAGAAAGTACTAAGATACATCCCTTTAATTGCTGTATATCAATGAAAAATTTATTCTTATCTTCTAATATGCAAATGATACACGTTCTTTTGTGTCGTTTTTTTTTGGCAACCAAACTTTCAATAGCCATTTTCACCAAATACTTTTGAAACATCATTTTGCTCAACAAGCCATTTAACCAAACAGTTTTCCAGCCAAACCTTTTCTCCATGGGTGCTTTTTTCAAACCCTTCTTTTTCACACCACAAGAGCAAAACCCAGCCACTAAGCCAAGCCTGAACCAAGTATGCTAAAAATGACAACATCTTGATCTTAATAAACTTTCCAAAATGTAAGTATCTCTCAGCATTACCCGTTGATGATTATTGTGTTAAATAGTAAACAGGTGCTAGTTAAAGTATTAGGTATCACTAGCATTACTTGTTAGGGAAAGCGATAGCCACTATGACTTACTCACACTCACACTTTAAAAGAGATCTGACTTCTAAAGGTGAAGTGTGCTTCATGCATTCACGTAATGAAAGTTTCTGCGAATGGTTGAAGGAAAAAAATACTAGATATACCTGTCGATGACCAATATTTCTCCTGTAGTTCTTCTTCCTCTTATATTTGAAGACGATTTTTTTAGCATCTAATCCCTGCAATAATAATATAAGTGAAAAATTAGGGAACCCAACGAGAGGTAGAGGACAATAACAAAAATAAAAGGCCGACTGAAAAAAAGATACATATAAACAGACAGTCATGAAACCTACCTGCTCTTCAACTACAGCATGAACAGCAGCATTAGTCACCACTGGTTTTCCAATATAGGCAGTTGTTCTTGTTCCCACAAGTAACACCTTATTCAGAGTTATCTGAATCAAAGATTGAACTTTAAAATCAAGGCAAAATGCAAACTGTGAAAGAAACTGGAGCCAAAACCAGATACATAACGTTTTTCTAATAGAAAAAAGGAATAATCAATTAGATCTTTTCTATAATTTTGACGGTGTTGGTAAGCTTGTGTGTCAATCCATAAATAGAATCCATGGTTGACTACAGCCTTTTTTAATTAATAACAAAGAAAACCTGAGAAATAGGAGCAGCACTGATTTCTTCTTTCTGGATGGAGGAAATAGATAGGGTGAAATAAGATTCTAAAAAGAATAAAATTAAATAGAAATGAAAATGATGAGAACACCAAAGAGGCCAAGTTAAGCCAAACCACATTACATTCATCAACTTACTCGGGGAAATCTCCCAAGTTCTGTCGTTGTGTAAAAATTGGACATAATTTAGTCATGATGGTTTTAGTCTAAGGATGCTAGAAGGCAAAGAACATGTTGATGGTCTATGTACAGTCCTCCAACATGGGTGCCTGGCTTCAGGCTTTTCCAAAGCCATCTAGACCTCTCCCACAGTTAAATTTTCAGGATGTAAATGTAATGAATAGTTCTTGCATGTTAGGTAAGCATATCACTTCTTCCACATGAAGGATTGGCAGCATATGCGAAACAGCTAATTGATCTAACCTGAAAGAAGGAAGGTTTCTCTAAAGGTGCATTTTTATGAAAAATGTATCCTTTTCCAATGTCTTTGGTTTACTATAGACAATGCCTTTGGTTTATCAAAAGCATTGCCTTTTGGTTTATGCCATGACCGGATATCCATAAAATCCAGTCATGGCCATGTCCTAGGTAGCTCAACTGATGTTGCAATATCCGGTTATCCTACGAAATACAGCATACCTTCCAGATTTGCATGTGGCTTATTAAAAACACAATAAAAACGATGTGGAAAAAGTCATTTGAGATCATTGCTTTTGGAATTCATCCAAAGGCATTGTCAAAATTGGGTCTTAAAAGAGGAAACACTTCTTTTTATGAGATAATATGCTCACTGTGCATAATATTGGCAAATGTACAGAATTTCAAGTAACTAGAATCACTGCAGAGAGCAGTATTTTCATCTTTATTTGATCGGCAATAAAGCATGCATTTGAGGATGACATCATGGCATTGGAGCTTCACATTCACCATTGCAGATAGAAAAAAGCTCCTTTGGCAACCCCAAATCAAAGTTAGACTAGACAAGAGAACAATACTTATCACATAAGCTGACAACACATACTAACTACGTGAAAGTTGCAACAAGCTTATAAAATATTTTAACTAATTAAGATACACAAATAAAATGATAGCAACATATACCTTATCATTGACATTTGCATCTTTTAGCCTCTGAACATAGAGCCATCGGCCCGGGATAACAATATACTGGCGACCTCCTACCTGGAAAAAGAACACAAGCCCCAGATCACAAAGCAAGCCAAATTATGCAAAAGATACTAGCAGGGAAACCAAAAGAGAACAACAATAAATCTTTCTCGAAAACCTCAAAATTACTCCACATTACATTCACCATTGGAGAAAAACAAAATCAGAGTCATTAATGAGTATGATATCAGTCTGCTTAGGCATAAATGGCATCAAGATTATAAGCTAAGCAGAAACCATCTAGCTAACCATAAAATTACACGTGAAACAAAAGCTATAACAAAAACCCATCTGGATAGTCACAAAATCAATCCAAAAACATTAACATCAATCACAAAAACCTCTCTAAACGTCCAAAAATTAGAATTTCCACTCCCATTCAATACTCACCATAACAACAGCAAAAATCTCCTCACGCTTGGGCGGCTCTTCCGTAGCAACCTCAACAATCTGCGACGAAGCAGGCTCCGGGTTAGCCTCTGATGCAGGTACTTCCGGCTCTTCTTCAATAACAGGAGCTTCAGATTCAGATAATTTGGGTGGTTTGTCCAAAAATGTGGGTTTTTTGGAGAAAATAAGAGAAGAGGAAGAGAGTTTCTGAGTGGTCTTTGATAAAGACCCAAAATTGGGTTTAGAGAGACAAAGGGTTTTAGAGAGAGGTGCGTTTTGGGTTTTGGAGATTTTGCATTGAGTGGTGAAGGAAGAACAGAGAGCTACTAGTGTTGTAGAAGAAGAAGCAGCCATTTTTGGAGAAATGAGAGTAGCAAAAAGCTCTCTCTTTTCCGTGCTGTTTTTATTTTTTGGCTCCGAAGCTGGGCGCTTGGGTCATTCATGGACTGACTTATCCTATCCGTTTACACTTCAATTACTAATATACCCTTAAAATTAAAGTTTTTTAATTGATTTATTTTTATTTTTTAAGATTATTATTTTTTATTTTTTAGGATTTTGAGAGTTTTTTCTTAATTGTCACCAATAGCAGTAGCATTACTTTTTTCTTTGTTTTGTTCCTTTTGTCCATAGTAATCCCACATCTAGTATTCTTGCTACCAAATGAGGGTTTTTTTTTTTTTTTTTCAAATTTAAGGTTGTTGTTTGATTTTTTTTTTCCTTATTTATTGTATTATTCTATCATTTCATTGGTCTTTGTCAAAAAAAAAAAAAAAACCAGTCTTCAAATCTCTTGTACGAAAAAAGAGTGTCAAATACAATATTAACGTAGTAGAACAATTGTTGAATTATTAGAAAAGATGCATCAATTGTCTGCTCACATGTAAAATAATTTGTGTATTTTAAATCTGAATTATAGATTTTTAGTTTTTAAGTAAAAAATTTATTATATGTTTTTTAATACTTTTAAAGTGGCAGGCAGAGTTGTTTCATTTTCTATATTAAGAGAATTCTCTATTAGATTGGTTGGCTTCGTATATTTAGAAGAAACCTTTCTTATTTTCAGTACAATAAAATTTCTATTTTTAGAAAAAAAAATCTCGAGTGGAACGAGAAGCTGAGTTCTAAAAAATAATTCAAATTTTAGATTATGTGAGTATTTTTTTTTATTTACTAAACGAAGAATCCAATTCAGAGGTTTAAAATAGCTCTTATATTTGGAATCTCTAGGATCTGATTGAATTTCAAATAAAATTCAATTTATTAAAAATTTATAAAAACAAATTAAAGGGATTGCTAGAATAAACCCAAACACATCCTATGTACTTTCTCATGTCTTCACAACTTAAAATTTCTTTTTATTTTCTTTTCTACATTGTCTTCTTTTACTTTTACTTGACATTAAATTGTTTTTCTATAACAAATTATTTCTTCTTCTTCAAATTTATACTTAATATGATGATTCTCGAACATTTCCAATGTTTTCTTTATATTAAGATTTTTTTTATATATAATAAAGAGGTTTGGCTCAAATTTCATCTCCAATGCTCTCTTTATCATAATCTCTATCTTTAAAATTGAGATATAAAGTACATTTGGCTCTCCAATACTATTTATGTATCTTATATTTCATTAATGAAAATTACTATTTTCTCGAGTCCAAACGACTCGATCTCTTCGTCAATAGTCTCTCTAGGTTTTATGAATTTTATCAAAATAAAGAATTATAGTAGAGAGTAGAATTGGAGAGGATAACAATCTTCAATCTATATAATTAATGATGCTCTCTATTTATATTAAAAATACTAACTAAAAAACAGAGAGCATCATTGGAGATGCTCTCATAAACTACTTTTCTTCCAAGTAGGATTATTTTTATTTGTGTGTCATAATAAGTGAACCTAAAAACGTGTCTCTTTTGTGATATAGAAATATTACTTTCTACTTGCATTTGTATATTAATGTTCATTCTAATTATATGTCGAGGATCATAATAATTTTATGTTAGTTTGATAGTTTGACGATAATAATAAAATCATGCCTATATGTGAAACAATTAACATCAAGTCTAAATAAATTTCTATATGCATGCATTGGATTATTGTTGTAACTTTGTTTCAATTATAATTAGGAGATAAAAAAAGTATATATTTTTCAAATAAAAGTGTAACATTTTTTTAATTTCATCTTAAAGTGTGGTTTTTCACTTTTGTAATTTCAAAAAATATATCGATATATTGTCCAATTAAGCTTAGCGTCATTATCAATATTTTGATTGTAGGTTTGTAATCTGGATAATGATCCTTTTTACTCTTGAAAGCGTTTAAGAATTTGTTTGGCTGTAATGCGTTGTGCTATGCTGTACTTTACTTATCGTGGGCCCTATATATGCTTATTGTACTATAATATTCTGTTAAGCAAGACAATGAGATTGCTATGATGCTGTATTGTGAATAAATTTATGAGTAGTTGGTTATAACATACCTCGAATTTTTTATTAATAGGAAAAAAAATTTTAATTTTATTTTAAATTGGGTCTTTAACTTTTTTTTATCTATAATTAAATCTTTCTTTTCCGTGGACCAATTCTAATTGATATTAAACAAGACATATCAAACATTAATATATCGATACATGTTATGAAAAAGACACTCGTTAGACATGTAAGCTATTAAAATAATAACACGTGTCCTTTCACTTGTATTTAATGTCATCCGAGATTAATTAACATGATAAAAGGATTTAATTGTAAAAAAAAACCGAAATCTAAATTAGAATAAGAAAATGTTAAGAACATTTTACTCGATGACTAAAAATTCATAGTACTTTATGACTAATTAATCTAAATTCATTGTAATGCTATTTGAATCAAAATGATTGTAAATGACCTAAATTTATTGTTAGATTTTAGCAGCTAATTAAATTTAAAAAATTAGTTTTATTATTCTAAATTTTGAAAAGATATGTTAATTTAATATGATTTTTATAATTGTATTTATTTCAATTAAAATTTTATAAAAAAAATTAACTTGAACATAACAGGATAAAAAGTTCGTTATTATTCATAAAAAATATTCATAATTATTGATATATTTATTATCAAAAGTAAATGCAAGTTTGTTTTAAATAAAATCATAATACTTTGTATTTGTGGATATAAGGACTCAAAAGATTGCAATATTTCTAAAAAATAGACCATATTGCAATTATGCAACCTCAAAAAAAAAAAAAAAAAAAAAATTGTTATTTTGTCTTTTTAAAATAAGTACCCTTTTATATCAAAAACTATTTTTCATCATTTTTTTTTAAAGTAAAACCTCATAACTTTTATAACGAAATCATCTTTCATCTTCTAAAATTAAACAATCAATTTAAAATTAATTATCAAACGCTTGTTAAACTAGAAAAAACAAAATGACGAAAAGACTCCTTATATATTTTTCTCTCTTTGGAAAGAAAAAAGCAAGCTTAAATAAAACAAGGCTAAAACTTCAAAATAATCTCCAAATTATCCATAATAATCAATTAGGTTTCTAAACTCTTTATATATATATATATATATATTCCTAAAGTAAAAACTTTCCCAGTTAGGTATCTAAAGTTTCAGACATTCGTCGATCGAATCCTTCCATCAATGGCTGTTAAATATTCTTCTCCAAAGTACATATTTGTCTCAGTGAAACAATAGCATTTTAAAGAGAACTGATTGTTTTTTTGAAAATTCCGATGAAGGGATCTAACGAAGGAATTCTTAACAAGGTGAAGATCAACGGGGGATCCAATCGAAACAACTTATATTTAGGTAGCATACTAATAATGAATATATAGTTGGGGAACTAATTTGAATAGTCAACAATAAAATAAATAAATAAATCAGTCAATGAAGGAAAATGGTAAAATATGAAAAAAGGGAAGAAACCAAGAAAGAAAAAGACACGTAGCGCGTGAGAAGCCAAGGTGGCACTCAAACGGCGGAGATCCCAAACATAAAACGACAACGGAAACTTCGTGGTTAAGCGTACGATGAAAATCGTAATCTTGTTAAAATTTCCTGATTACAGACATAAATTTCGTTCTATCTTTATATATAAGTAAGAGAAGATGCAGAGTTCAAAATCAATTATGCACAGAAGAACCAAATTCTCCTTCTCTTCATCATCATCATCACTATCGTTGATTTTGTTGTTGATCGTCATCTTTGTAATCAAAATGGCCGACTCCGTTCCATCGACAGCCGATTCATCAAAACCAGCATCAGTCCAGATTGTCTACACTGAGAGACCTCAGGATGAGGAGCCTGAGGCTTACCATATCCGAACCCTAGCCTCTGTTCTTGGCAGGTACCCCAGGGTTTGTCGTTGTAATTCAGATCTGTATGACTATTTATGTATTGGGTTTTAAGATTTGGTGTTTATTTATTTATTTATTTTTATAGCGAGGATGCTGCAAAGGAGGCATTGATTTATAGTTATAAGACAGCTGCAAGTGGATTCTCTGCCAAGCTGACACAAGAACAAGTTGAACAAATCTCAAGTACGCATTTTTCTCTTAATTTCTGATTGAAATGATCTCATAGGTTAATGGTTTTTTTTTTTTTTAGATTATTGTTGTTAGATTGTGGATTGAGCTTGTAAGTTACAAGTTATAAATTTTTTACTGAAATGATTTTATAGGGCAATGGATGTTTGATTTTTTGTTTTTTTTTCTTTGAAAACAAAGCTGGTTTTGAGATTAGGAGAACGTGGAATGTCTTTTAAGTTTGTTTTTGAAATTTCACTTCTGAAAAGCCTGATCTTGGATAATTTTATTATTCGTTTTTAAAGGTAAATCAATCATCTTGTTTTCACTATTTTGTTCCTTAGATTAAAGGGGAAGAGCTAATTGAGGTTTCTTTCTTTTTAAGTGTAGAATTAAATCTTTGGCAGGGGAACTTTTATTTGCATACTTGTCGTTCTAAGTTTGGATGGATCTTCAAGCCGCTATGTTTACTATTTTAGGTTCTTTAAGTAAGAATTTTGCTCGAATTTCTTAATGGGTTATGGACGTCATGAAGTCTGTTTTCCACTAGCTGTTATACTGAGCTACATGCTTCGAATTATACATGGAAGTTTGATAAAACAGAATGTCCTTTTCGTGTTTTTACGTTTCAACTTCAATCAACGGAAGCCTGTTTAATTGTCTTGCGATTATTCTTTAGTTCACAACATAACCAATTTCAAATGCATATGATGCTTCTCTTGTTGAACGGATGCGTAAAATGAGGTGTATGATATTGGAATCAATATCACTGAAAGCATCCTGTTTCTTGAACCAAATATATTGTATTTAGTGGTTTGGCTGCATGTTAACAATTTTGTTCTATTCAGACAGTGTTGTTTAATTGCATTTAGCATGGTGGATTGTGCATTGGATATGTCTCCACCTGACCTTTGCCATTAACAATACAATTGACAAAGCTTTTATTCACAATCATATGGTTTTTCATCGCAGAACTACCAGGTGTTCTTCAGGTTGTCCCCAGCAAGACACTTCAGCTGCATACAGGAACTGGGATTGGGAGGCTGCATTAAGTCTTTGGATGTTGGAACTTATTGTATCCCCCTACTATTACAAATAAATAGCTATCAAAGCCTTCCCTAACTCTTCCCTTGTGTATATTGAACAAGTTTATCCTGTGTCATGTGTCCTATGTTTTACTGCAACCTGTCGCATATTAATAAAGTTTCATATAGTTGTTTTTTTCGCATTGTTTGTGTATATTATGAATCTGATTTGGATGAAGCAGTTTCGTATCTTAGATTTATTATTTTATTTTTTTATATTCTTAAGTTTTAGATTCTCAATTCATTTTAGCATCCGGAGAGTAAGTTGGTGAAAAATGACTTGTTTTTATGTTTTTTCTCCACTCATTATCTGCTAATGCATAGATCTCTGCATGTGAAAGTTAAAATGTGCCTGGGCAACCATGACCAAAAATCACTCACTCTTTCTTATCTTTTTTCCATGAATTGCTCTTTTCCAAGCATCTTCATGCATTTTATGAGGTGCATGTTACGTCATTGATGAACTTGGATTGAAAAAGTCAAGACGTGTTCTTTTAACTATTTTTAAGAGCATGAAAGATTCCGGTTGTAGAGAGAAGAAACGATAATACTAATCAATTTTGTTCTTATATGGTAAAATGGTTCGTCAGCTATAAATAACTTTTTCGGGCTGATTAATAATTCATCTGCAAGTGATTTTGCTTTTGGAGAAATTTTGGCATGCACTGATCCATTGGACCAAAATAAGCTTTTAATTAGTTGGTGCAATGGATCCTACCATTTCCAGTTAGTCGGTGCTCTAAATTAAGATGGTGAGATTGTCCTTTCAATAAGCTAGGTCTTGTTTTTCATATCTCACAAGGTGTTACAAATATAGAGAAATGCTTCCTTAAGAAAATATTTCTTTGTGATTCCTCTATAGAAAAACGAAGCAGCAACATAATTCTCCACAGTAGAGTTAGTCTTCTGCTAAATCCCATGTCATATACGCAGCTGCAAATAGAGTAATGCAAGGCATTAAGAGATCATCTCAATGCCTCTAAATGCAACCCAGAGGCATACTCTTCTTCAACCAAATAAGACCTTCCTTGAGAATATCATACTGCAAAGAGCATTTCACACATAATGGCAACAAAATCCAGAGGCTGATCCTAAACCATAATATTTCACAAATAGCACAGAATCTCTCTACCCAGAAATCAATACTGGTATGCAAATGCAAGAGGCAAAGCAAAATATAAAACATGAAAAGAACTTTAGTTTTCTAAGTACGTATGTTAATAATGCTGCAGTATCAACATCAAGTGAATGCCCAACCATCTGTAAATGATCACTGAACAATTAGAGCAGAGTTCAAAGGTACATTCCCCTACACAAAAACCCTTCAATTAAACACATTAATGAAACCTCGAAAGCCTAAGACGAGTAAAATAAATCAAAGGTTCACATTAGTAAGGCATATCGTGTGCAGCTAAAGCTGCTGCATTATTTCCCTACGCGTACAAATTTAAACAAATAAATAACTAATTATACTTGATCTTAGACAAAGGGAAGGGAAAAGTATATATAACTAATTACAGTAAAGTATTAGTCTTTACAACAGCCAGACTAGTTAACTCATTGCCTCTTAACTATCCAACCACTTGATAATCCAAAAAATTTACACCCTTAGTTGTGGCCAAAAAAAAAAAAAAAAAAAAAAGACTACAACTTTTGCCTCTCCTAAACAAGCACAAAACATGAAATTAAGTTAAATTTCCTACATTAAGAAGTAAAAACCTAACTCAACACACACGCAAATCCTAAAAAGACTACACATTTTCAACAAATTACTCATTAAACTAAAGCTATTAATGCTTACAACAACCCAAAATACGAAGTACCAGTTAAAATTCGTCTCTCCCTAAATCAAGTTGAAAAACCTTTAAAAAGACAATATCCATTTTAAAGATGTGACGTCTCAGGAAAGTTGAACGGGGATTATTGGCAGCCTCTGCCTTAGGCGAGGCTTCCAAAAATTGACGGGCAAGATCTACCTAAAGTAGGGCGGATCTCGCTCGCCTAAAAGACGTGTGTTCGATGTACAAGGTGTCGGCACGACTTGCCGTCTCTAAACGATCATAGACAAGTCGCCTTTCACCCCTGACAAGACGGGTAAATTTCACTATGCCAGTTGGACCCTTATTTATACACAAGTTCCTAAGCCTTAATCTCACATTGTTTCGATGTGGGATATGCATAACAGTCTTTTTTCTTGGATTGTTTCACTTTTATTATGGCCATTTGGATTAAATATAAGTGAAATGAATATATAATATATAGAAAAAACATTAATCTATTATCTGTCTATCTTTTATCTATTATCTACTGCATATTTTGAAAACGGAAGAAGCGATACAAGTTATGTTGCGTTGCAATGTAGAAGTTTGATTGCCATAATGTAATATTTTTGTTTTGTCAACTAAATCAATAAATGATTGTCATATGTAAGTAACACACACACACATGTATATATGTGTGCGTGATAAGGTTTAACTTCTCTCAGTAAGTAAGTACAATTTTAAAATTTAAATTTTATATATTGATAAAAAATTCATCTAGTGATCAATTTATTTGCTATTAGACTAACGAGTTATTGGTATATATAAGTAATATTTTAACATCCAACAACGTTATATTGTATTTATTTTTTTACTTGTTTATTACATGGAAAGAATGTATTAATGTGGTTTTAGGAGAGAGAAATTAAATAATTTTTTTTTCAACCAAAACTTTTGAGTGATTTTTTTTTCAATATGTTTGTTATTAATTATTTTTATGTAAACTAAATTAAAGATTGTGTTTAGATTATGATGTATATTGCATAATTTTTGCTTTACCGTAATATGTGGAAAAAATCAACATATATATCTATATATATATTTGCAATAACTCATTTTATTTTCGCAAATATATTTCTATTTATGAAGCTTTATACACATAGCTTCTTTTTCTTTTTTGTCTTTAAATTTTACTAGTTAGTTGATGAATCAAAATTTACTAAGAAACTATATATGTTGAACTAGACAGATAGATTGAAATCTAATTAAACTCACAAATAGACTCGAGTCTAGAGTTATAGGTATGCTAATGGTCATACAAGTTACAATGTATTAAAAATAATCATCAATGTCCATTAACCCACTACCCTACAAGTAATGATTACTAATACACTAAATTAAAGTTACACCAACTAACTTGTAAGTTATTAAGAAGAGAACTAAAAGAAGCTGAAGTATTTACTATTGTTCTAGACTCGGATTGATTATTCATTGTGACTCAACCGCACTCTTTGAAAAAGCTTTGTCAATCCGGGCCATCCGTCGTTGGTGTGTTCTTCTAGTCGTCGTTGGATGTGCCATGCTGCCTTTAATTATTATTTTTTTCTTTTCGGTAGATAAGTGATTGCTTGATTTTTTGTCTCCTAGCTTTTCGTTAATTTCTCTTTTGCTAGTTAGTGGATTTGAGAAACACCATTCTTGTCATTGATTGATTCTCTTTCTAATTTTCTTCTTGGGCCTTTTTTCATCATTTTCCTTTTTTTTTATTTTATTTTTTTCGGATTGAGCATTTAATGCTATCATCTTCTTTCAATGTTTTTTTTCTTTTCATTTTTGACGCAGAACCCAAAGTCACGTGCTATTCAAGAGTAAATTATAAATTAGTCCTTCTTTCTTTAATAAACAAATTAAATAGTCCCTTTAGTTCAAAAACTAGTTTTTTTTTCCTTTTTGCTATTTTTTTAAACCTTTTTAAGAAATAAAGAAAGAATAAATAAAATGAGTAAAAATATGAAAAAAAGACATTTTAGAAAATAAAAAAGTTAGTTAATCATGGTCAACATTGACTAAAAAAATTAAATAATTTATTTTTGAAACCAAAAGAACTAATTAATTCATTTCTCAAAACAAGATGAACTAATTTATAATTTAATTTGCAATTCAAGAATCTCTTTCATCATAAATTAAGAAGTAAAATTTACAAAAATCAATTTTGTAATAGTTTTTATTTTAATTCATTAACTTTAATATATCCCATACAACTTAGATGCAAAATTTTTTTTTGTTTATACTCTGTATATTACTGAATCTGCTAGATATATATATATATATTCATTAGTTTTGTTAAAAATTAATTATGTATCCACATAGATAACACTAATTATTTGTTATTTATTCTTTTTTATGTTCTAAAATTAATATTTTTTAAATAACATAATGAAAATAATATTTTGAAAGAACGTTCCAATTATTCAAATACAACTTTTTATACTAATGTTATTGATTATTTTATTAATAAATATATATAAATTAAATAATTTTGGTCAGCAAATAGATTTAATTTATATTAGTTATCGAAATTAGATTTTTACCCTCACTACACCATCAAATCATCGATCCTACGTATATAACGATTGTCCGATCGCAACATAGTGCGGATATCCATCTAGTATTTACTAACTGATCATGAAGTTACTACAAGCATTAATGATGTAAAAATGACCTTGGTACTATATAAAAGTGATGAATTCTCACATGTAAAGTGACAAACTAATTCATTGCTATATCAAACATCAAAGTTTCTACCCTAGGTGGGCGATACTTAAGTCCATTTTACAAGTTAATGTCGTTACTATATCAACCCTAACCAATCTAATCATCAAACCTAGCGAGATCCAACAAGGTTTGTTGCACCAATCTCCTTTGCTCATGTATCCCATCTTAGTCAACCTATTTTTTCACATCAACATTTCCAAGATTTTTACTTTATGTTTTGCTTTTAATGTTTTTACATTTTTTTGTGATATTTTTAGGTTTTTAATATCTTTGTCATAATAGGGGCACAACTTGAAGAAAAAAAGTGAAAATTCCAAAATTTATTTATGAGGCCGAAGTCATCAATATCAACCATTGAAGCATAAATAATAAATACGCCACCTTTTTGTCACAAAAAGTGTGAAGGTCAACAACCAATGATAAAATAAATAT